ACACACACACACACACACACACACACACACACACACACACACACACACACACCACACAAATAAATGTTAAAAAATAATTTTAGGAGCTGGAGAGACGGCTCAGTGGTTAAGAGCACCTATTGCTCGTACAAAGCACCTGGATACAGTTCCTAGCATCCATATGATGATTCATAATTATTTCTAACTTCAATTCCAGGGGCTCTTACTCTGACACACACACATCGTACACACATACATGTAGACGAACATACATATAAAATAAACATTTAAAATCTGAAAAGTAAAATAATTTTCAGCAATAATAACAATTATAAAGCCGCAGAAATCAGCAAATAGGACTCTGAGTCTGGGACAGTGGAAGAAGCTGACATAGAGACAGGAGGTTGAGTGGGCAGCAGGGCTTAGCTGGCTTGCATGGTAATACCAGTGTTTTCCAGGTGACACAAACAGGGAAAACACAGAACATACAATGTTTCAGGAGGAGTGTCAGGTTTCCAAAGGCCAGAAGAGACCTTTCCCCTAGGCCTCCTAGTGCTTCCTGACAGTCTTATCGCCAGCCTCCCCAGCACTCTGCCTCCTTCCTGAGTACACCTCAGGTCAAAAAGGAAACTGTCCAGGCTGCAGACAGACCCACAAACTCAACAGAACTAGGTCTGTGGCTCCTTGGAGAAGCACTGCCCCTCTACAGCTAAGACTTCTAGGCCAGAAGAGCGCGAGGTCACTTGGAAGAGAAACCAGTGTGCCTAATTCTAGCACTCTCCTTTGCTGAGACCACCTTTTGGTGAGGTTTATAAGGGCACACATACATATTTATTCCTTCCAGTGTTTACAGAAGTATGCCAACGTTCCTGTCCCCTAAGTGTCTCTGGCCTCAATTTTCCAATCATGTTCCTTCCAAGCTGCTGGACTTGAACCCACTGTGTAGGTCAGGTAAGGAAAGAGTCTGTGGTACTCTGTCCATCTTTACTTGCTGATTCCTACAGTCTGGCTTTTGCCCATGAAGAAAATATCAGGCAATGTACTGATCCCGAGTCAATGCACTACAGCCTTGTGGAGAACTCTGCTCCATCACTGTGGGGATGGAAACCTAGAGGCTCTGCATTGTGTGTCTTTACAGGGTCGATCCCATATTCTGTATCAGGGTAGAGGCTTCCAGAGGGTGGACCCCAGGGAAAACCTGTGAATTATAAGAACCTGGGCTCATGCCATGCTTGTTGCCTATGAAGTGAGTTGTTCCACTAAAAGTCATGTGCTGTTTGAGCTAGAAGCTAATAACTTTGTGTGGTCTAAACTAACTAATAACTTTGTGTGGTCTAACTAAACAAGAACACTTGAAATAAAAATACAAAAGCAAAAATACGTAATATTCAGATGTGTGCTCCCATTTTTACTTATGCTCTGTGTCTTTCTCATGACTCATACACAAATGGTATCCCCCACTCACTTCTGTTTCTCCACTTACTCCCAAGGACTTCACCACAGCCGCTTGCTAGCAATACAGCTCATCAGCACTCAGGCATCACCACTGAGGACAGACCCTTCCAGCCTAGCAGAGACGGACAGTGCCGGTGTGAACAAGAAAGTATATACCTGTCTTTAGGTAACCACACTTCCTCACCATCTTCAGCATCACATGCTGCCACTGGAACAAGAACAAACAACAAACAAAGCTAGAAGGAATTGCAACTCATAACATTAGACCTCGGGGAGTAAAAGACAGGGAAGGAAGAAGAAAGTCCAGAGAAAGAAAGGAAGGATGAAAGGAAGGTTGGGAGGGGAGGAAGGAAAGAAGGAAGGAAGGGACAGAGGGGGAGGGAGAAGAGAGGGGGAGAGAGGGAAGGACGGAACGATAGAGGAAAGAAATTCCATCTTTTAGTGTAGGATAAAGGCCATTTGGTATATTGTTATCAATACTATATAAGGAAAGAATGGAGGATTTGGTCTTCATTTTGACAAGGGAAGCTTGAAGTGCCTCTGCATAACTACACAGGAGTCAAACTTATGATCTGAAAGCTGACTGAAAGGTACAAGTTACAGAGAAATAGTTAAAAGTCAAACTACAGAGGCCTGCAACACTTGAGTCTACAGTGGAATGGAAGGGACACAAAGCAGAACATGAGGATAATCATATGTTAAGTACCAGCAAGTCATGACAGGAACTGAAAGGGGGGTTGAGGATAAAATGCTTGCTGTGTAAGACCAGAGACAGAGTCCTGGACCCCTAGATCCCACATTAAAGCCAGGCAGGTAGAGTGGCAGCCTGTAACCCCAGTACTTAGGAGACAGAGACAAAGGATCAACAGGGCAAGCTGGCTGGTTAGACCAGCCAGAATGTGTCAGTGAGAGACCCTGCCAAATAAATAAAATAGAGTGATGAAGGAAGACATCCAATATCAACTTGGGTCTCCATATGCCTATGCACACTCATGCATTCACATTGCTTAAGCCCATACACACACACACACACACACACACACACACACACACACACACCAAACTTGAAATAGAAGAATTTCTACATGAGATTACTGACAATAGTTTCAAATGTGTCAGAATTTTTAAGTAAGGCAGCTGAAGAATTGTGCTGGCATTTGACTATAATTTAAAATTCTGATGAAACTCATGTGTCTGAGCACCAGAGAATCCTGACAACTGTGAATGCTGTGCTCAGCTCTGGGCTGGGAGTGAAGCTTTGCACACATCATTGTGCATGTGTGTCTATGAAGCCTGTTTACACATCACAGGCCAGGAGAACTGATCATACTCTCTTCCTGGGGTCAATCCAAACTCTCTAACAAATGACACAGGACCGGAAAAACTAGTGATGCCAGGTGGTGGTGGTGTATGCCTTTAATCACCAACACTAGGGAGGGAGAGGCAGGTGAATCTCTGTGAATTTGAGGTCAGACTGCTCTACAGAGCTAGTTCTGGGACAGCTAAGGCTACACAAAGAAACCCTGTCTTGAACCCCACACCACCGCCCCCCAAAAGAAAAGAAAAACCAGTGGCACAGTTCAAATGACTCTAAAGCCTTTACAACATGATTCTATCTACATTAGTATCTTATTATGTCTGTGTATATTTGTCTAATGTTTGTTTTTCCATTCCAATTTTAATTAAGGAACTCTCACAAAGTTCTTAAATCACAATGTAAAACAAGGTCAGGAATAACCACACCACTTACCACAACTGTGTTCATTTTCCTCGCTCTCTAAGGCACATGGAGTACCTTTACCTTGCAATTGCAGCTGGAAAAGAAGGCAAACAGAAGTCAACAGGCATTTTCTGTGCTGTGTTTGTGAATCCCAATGTGCAAAGATCTCTACATAGTTGCTGAGGAAAAAAGCTAGAAAACAACAAAAAGCCTCCTATGTGGAAACAGTCTCTGACACTTGAGAATTGCCACAGCAGATCTAATGGAAGGAATACAATCAATTAGAGATTAAACTTATAGTTTACCCATAGTTTAGTGCAAGTATTTGCTGCTTGCTTAGTGACTATATCATGAAGACATACTGCAAAGTTTTGAGGATGTTTAATGAACGTGATGCAGTCAGAGAAATTATAGAAATCACTTGGGCAGGATTTCCTGTTTTCCCGTCAATGCAGAGGCACCACACAGGATTCCATTCACATCTCTCGGTTTACATATTTAAGTTTCACAGACAACATGCTTTGTGCAGCCCAGGGCTGTACCTGTAAGTGAACATGACCCATATTTTTTGCAGGACCTTCAAAGTACTATTTAACCAGAGCCTGCCTATGGTGTCCATGCCTGGGTGTAGCTTCCTCCCATAATGCCCCTTAGCTTTGTCCTTCCAGGAGGGCTTCAATGTGACAAAAGTACAGTTTTCAGATGAGGTTTCCCATGCAGTCTTGCTAGGGTTATAGTTTCGTGTTACCATGCCCTGTTACTACATCTAAATTTTACAACAGTATCAAGGCTTCTCAAGAAACTAAAAGTACAACTACCATAGGATCCAGGAGTCACAATTTTGCATGTTTCCATACAAGAACTGAATTCACATTGTGCCAAAAAGCCTACTTCACTGTTCATTGTTGTGCTATGGCCTTTTCCTCTGGGCTAACACTATTCTCCCGTCTCCGTCTTGGAGCAGAGATTGACCGGGAGGCTGTAACAATGAAATAAACCAAAAAACACAGGTCTACAGTAGTGGAAGTGGTGCTGCTACACTCTAAAGTAGAAGAGGAGGAGAGTTACAGACCTTCATCTTGGCACCTTTCTCACCGTGCTAGGGACCTAGGGTATGCAGGAGATGGAAAATTAACTAACGTGGAGCTCAGTGCAGTGGCTTCCATGATGTCACCATCCATAATGAGGTGGGACTTGGTGGTCTGGAGGGGGAGTCAACCATCCTCCCTATACAAATAAGTCCAGCAAACTCATTGGATCACCAAGTTGGACCATAATGGAGTCTACTTTGGTCATTCCTAAGTGCCCATCTGAGGTGAATATGTAGACATTTGTGTATGTCTCCCCACTAAAAGTCTGTGCAATTACTGTGCACTCTCCACAGAAGCCAACACAGAGCCTTCCAGATAACGGGGAGGCTAGGAGATGCCTCAGCCCAGGCTCACCCCACACCTCAGGACTGTCACTGCTAGACAATGGGACACAGACACAGCAGTTGTGGTACCGTGGCCAGGAACAGGAGGAGACTGGGTCCGGCTGAGGACAAGTCTCCCTGCAGCATCAGGGAGGGGAAGTCTCAGCCACGTCAGGACCCAGGGTGACAGAGGCCAGAACCGAGTCAGCTCACCCCAGCCCAGGGCCCCGGGAGCGCCCCGCCCCCCCACCGCACACCCCCCGCCCCAGCCGGCAAAACCGGCTGCACTCACCAGAAGGCAGGCGTCAGACTACCTGTAGATGTCCTACCAGGCTGTCGCAGGACTGAGGCCACAACCCACCGCCGCAGAAACCGGAAGCAAGATGGAGTCGCCGGAAACAGACCGGAAGTGCGCGGGACGGTCCCGATCACAGAGCGTGTGAAACCGTCTTAAGTTCTTGAGCATCTGGATCTCTAGTGACATCGCTGCATTTAGAATACTTCAAACTCTAGAGCGAATGCTTTGTGAGGTTAAACTCAGGAACAATTGCTTTATGCAGAAAAACAAAACGAAAACTTTAGTTGGATGGGTGTGGTAGCACGCACCTTTAATCCCAGCGTCAAGGAGACAGGTGAACAGTTCTCTGAGTTTCAGGCCAGCCTGGTCTACATAAAGAGACCCTATATATATCATACCAAAAATATCTTGTGGAGCTAGAGGCATGGCTCAGAGGTTAAGAGCACTGGTTGCTCTTCCAGAGGATCCCGGTTCAACTTCCAGCACCTACATGGGGGCTCACAACCAGCCCCGGGGGAATCCAGGATCCTCTCTGAACTGCACACATGCGCACAGAACTACAGGCAAAACACTCATACACATAAAATAAACTATCTATTATGTAGCTAGATACCTAGACAGGTGTTATCAGATCTTTTGTGTATGGACACTCCCTAAAATAAGGAAAACCAAAGTACTACAACTGCCCTATAATTTCAAACCACCACATCAAAAGGGGGAAGCATGGATGCAAATGCCCCTCCTCAAAATGTAAAAGTCTTCGTGAATGATGGAAGAGAATAGTTGCTTCTTGAGGCCCCTTAAGGAAAGGCTGTATCCTATATTTCATCATATCTTTCTT